CACACCACACCACATCGAACCACACTGCAGCTACATTCACACGGAGAATGACTTTTAAGAGTCTTGGGGTGTGCCCAGAAATAATTGAACTTTTACATGACAAGGGAATTCTTATTCCGTCGGAGGTGCAAAGTGCATGCATCCCAATGATTTTGGCTGGTGCGCTTAAGTTTTTTGTGGTCATTGTCATCTAGGGAATGATATTGTCGCTTGTGCGCAAACGGGCTCTGGGAAGACAGCCACCTTCGTCGTTCCACTATTGCAAGTGCTTATGGTTGAACCACGGCCCTTTTATGCCCTTATCCTCACACCCACGCGGTGAGTTTTTATAGAGTATTGCAGTTTGTACCCAAATTCGTGAAAAAGTAATTGAAAATTGTCGAATAAGTTCTTCGCGATTCGCATTATGCAATCGATTAATACAATTACGGGCGGGAAAATAATTATTTTTTTATTTGTTGGAAATCATTATTTACCTCTTTCACTATGAATGTCTTGTTAAGCTATTTGGCACTTTTTGCATTGAAATCTACCGATCATTTCGAGTAAATTAGGTTAGGTAAATTCGTACTTTGTTATCTCCCATGTCATTGAGTTTGTGTAATTGGAGTTGTTGTACTAACATTTTCCCAAACTTGATAACATGTGTCCAAAACCTAAAGTATAATTCCCCCATAAAGTTAATTAAAGGTCATAAAATGACTTCATGAGACTAATGCGTTTTTCACGTGTGAACATTATCTTCAAAATTCCAGAATCATTCTTCGTCACGCTGAGGTTGAGTACTTCGTTGCATTTGCATAAACGACTCTCATGGTTTGCTTTTTCGACTTCTTTTGTGTAGCAGACTATTAAACATTATGTGTTTTGTGTTGTGCAAATGAGCATTACGTTAAAGTATTCGAATTTAAGTAAATGACATTCGATCTAATTAAAGTAGGTTTCTATCGTATCGACATCTTCTTCTCTATTTACGATTCCACAACAGTACCTAAAGATTCGTGGCTCACCGTATCTAGTAGTCAGGTAAACCATAAAACTCATAAAATGCCTAGTCATGCACACTTTTCTGGGAGAATTTGTGACCGAAATGGCCCTCTGTGGATGTTTGTTATTGTCCCTGGGGCCGGCTTTTCGCTTCACAATACGAGATTGGACTCTCGTTAGCTTATTGTGGGCAACGTGCCTTTCCTATTTCTTTTTTGATGGGTTGGTTGTTACTTTGGTCGACCCGTTTTTGAACCCACATTCATTAAAGTCCATTTATTGGTTGCCTTCGTGATCTGTAGTAATTCTTCAAGTTGGATGTAGTTTAAGAAAGACTTCGAAGTGTTTTTGGCCGCGTAAAATGTTTAAAACCGTGGCCTTAATCATCGCATTAGAATAAGCTACAAAGTGTGCGCGTTTCTCCTTCTTTGAAGAACTTTTAACAGCGTTAAATATTCCCTTACCGCGTCACAGATGTGTCACCACGTCACTACTCGGACTTCGGAATGCGGGTGCCGCCTTTAAGGCTGTAACTTGTCCATCAATGAAGAAAGAGTATAAATCTTCAGAATACATCGTCACCGTTTTCGAATGTTGCATTTAGCTGTGTGTAATTTGAACAACTTTTCGAGTAAAATGTGCCCAAAAAATCTGGCTTGGTGGATTTCTTTCAGTCAGATTTTGTCTTCACAGTACTTTTCTCCACGTTGCATAAGCAATCTGTATAGCGGTTTTACGAGTTAACATAATAAAACACTCGTAGTTGTTTCATTCCTGAGGAAATCGAAAATTAACGAATCATTTGTTGGAAACTGTATTTTAGCCATTTTTTAATAATAAAATGTTGCCGATGCGACTCATTGATGTAGTTGTTATTTTGCATCTCGATCTTGAGTTATTTTCGTTCACTAATTTCCCACCACGAATTTCGGCCCACGCTGCATTTAGGGAGTGACCCAGATATAACCAGGTCCTGCCACGAATTTCAAATAAGTGGAGTTTTTTCCCAAAATGCAACCCATTGTGTGTGATGCCGATAAATGAGAGTTCAATTTGTTATTGCTTCACTTAACACGACCAACAACCATTCACAATTTTGATTATGGTTTAGTCCACATTTTATTGGTCAATGGTAGTTAATAGACTATTTTCTGACCTTTTTTCTAGTAATTATTTAACAATCCAGTTATTTTTTGCCAAAGTTCTTTGAACCACAAGGTGTCACAAATCTTGCGACCACCTTTTTGTGTTGATAGCATGTCTTTTATATTTTTTTGCAATCACAGTGAGCTTGCTCATCAAATTGGTGAACAGACCGCCGGCCTCAACCTTGTCCAAGGCAGTTCAATTTGCACTGTTCAGGTTATCACAGGCGGCCGTAGCATAGTCCACCAAGGCATTGACTTGGCGCGGGGTCCACACATCATCGTCGCCACTCCCGGACGCCTTGCGGATCTTCTGCGCACCCAGAAAGCCGCCTCAGAGTCTGGGTCGGCACCCGAGTGGAACTTGTCGCGTCTCAAAGTGCTCGTTCTCGATGAGGCTGACCGCCTTTTGGAAGACAACTTCGGCAAAGACCTATCCGAAATCATGTCCGCTGTGCCCCGTCAACGTCAGACACTCCTCTTCAGTGCGACCTTTAGCGACGCTGTCAAACGGGCAGTGGAAGCCAGTAAGGCTGTTGCCGCTGCTGAAGGTCGCAAACCGCCTGTCATGTGGCAGTCGAAAGGCATCACAGAGTCTTCTAAGCAACTTGCAGCGGGATCAGCCACCGTTGATACCTTATCCCAGTACTACCTCATCACAAAACCCGAGTTAAAGGATGCCTTCTTGGTCCACGTGGTCGACCAGTTCCTCACTGAAAACCCTCACTCTCTTGTCATTGTCTTTTCTAACAAGTGCAAGTGGTGCCATCTTCTTGGTCTGATTCTGTCGGCCGTTGGTATTCAGTCGGCGGTGTTGCATTCCTCGATGTCACAGAATGACCGGGTTGCTGCCCTGACCTCGTTCAAGTCGAGTCATGTGCGGGTCTTGATTGCAACTGACTTAGCTAGTCGGGGCCTCGATTTCCCCACAGTGGATGCTGTGATAAACCACAACGTGCCGATCCGCCCGAAGGACTACGTTCATCGAGTCGGTAGAACGGCCCGCGCTGGCAAAGCGGGCATGGCCCTCACTTTCGCCGACCTCTTCGAAATCAAACGACTGAGAGCCATCCAGGACTTTATTGGTTAGTTTGACTTGTGTGCTTTTTGCTTGTTTTTGTATTTGCACACCACAAAGGCTGTTATTACCAGGGACGAATATTTTAATGACTGTGAAATATTTGTTGTGTAGCTCTATTAATAACTTCGAACATGGTTGATACCCTCAATTAAAACTTAATCAGTATTTATTCAAGCTCAAATAAAGTTCGGTTACCTAAACCGAACGCACCGAAACACATGTAGTGTGTTTTCAGCGTGTTCCTGATAATATGAGTTCATAAATAAGAGGTATTTGGCTATTAAACTAGGTACACTAACAGGTAATCACGTAGATGTGGTAGAGTGCACTTATTCAGTCCTTTACTACTATTATTATTGATTTAAGTAGTGGTCATATATGCTCGTGTAGAACGCAAGCCTACTTCATGGGTTATGAAAAAAACCAGCATCTATTGAGTCACATAACACTGGAAATGCAACAACAGTTTCTACAACCAAATCAGTGGGAATTCACCACCACTGAATTATAAGTCTTCCGAAGTGGCATGAACATGAGGACGTATTCGGGTGCGAGATCCGAACGCT